CACCTCTCAATATATATATGGATATAAAATGAGGAGTCATAAAAATGATCTTGAATAATTGGGATATGCTGAATATGATTATTATATTTTGACATCCATGTATTGACATGGAAAATAATGACCTTGAATGTACACCAGACTTCAAATGTAGCAACCAAAGGGATCTGCAACATATTGGAATTCCATTAATGAATATATCCTACTTAGCTCACATCTTCAAATTCAAATAATAGTCAATTGAAATCTGTAAGTGTTTCAATATAGTTTAGGGAGAACCAAACTGCCATATAACTAACCTTGTAAAAAACCAGTCAATACGCATCACTTCTGATGACTTCGATTGAGGATGAAATCTATGGACTTCTAAATTTATTTCAGTTTTAAAGCACTCTTATTGACCAGTTTTCTCATTCGCTAGTTGCTTTGAGTAGCAGCGTTATACTCATAATATAAAGAGGCACAACAAATGATTGGTGAAAGCTTTAAATAATTGAAGAGGGGAGTATAAGAAGTTTGGCACACATAGTAGGAGAAATTATTACGTGCGGTCGTTGGATGCCGTCCAGGGGCAAATCAGGACGTGCCATATATATCACTATTTTGCTCTACACTGGTGTTGTGTACCGGGTGATGTGGTGTATCCTGATTTGCCTTCGGATTGTCCGATAATTGCACGTAATAATTTCTTCATAGTAGGAGGTGAAACCTATTTAAAACCTTAATGGGAGAATGTCATGTGAAATATTATTTTCAATCGAAAATCTGACTATAACATTATCCTTGAATATTTATTTATAATAGAATATCCTATAATACAAGACTAATAACTAAACTAATCCTAAATTTTCATATGATTATACTGCCTGTGTCAATTAAAATCAAGATTAAACTACTAACAAAAGAAATATAATAATAATTCAATTAAACTACTATGACATTATAAATAATCCCTACTTATTCTATATATAAAATCGACCTTGTAATGAGACTATCAGGAAGACTGACTAAGCAGAAGAAGCCATTTATTTAATGAGAAATCTTTGATTAACTTATAAAGCGACTTCACGAATTTTATATAATGGTAAAAACTCTTATATTTGAGGGAAGCACTATGTGTAGTTCTTACATCTGATAAAGACTTGTATCTAGGTTAAACATTGTAGTTGATTAAAGATCTTGTATTTGAATAAAAAAGTTTATTTTTCTTTTAAAATCTTACATCTATAAGGGCCTTGATAAACTTTATATCTTGAACAATGTACTTGTAACTGAATGAAATATATTTTACTATTGTATTCTATGTATATCTTATAAAATATTGTATCTCATTAACAAAATATTTATTTTCTTTTTATAGTATTAATTAATAGGAGTGAGTTGAGGAACTTGGAGCTGTGGTGGGTGCTCGCATCCCCTAGAGTTGTAGTAAATCCCTTGATATTTTATATTATGTTGAAAATTTTGCCTCCACAAACAAATGCATAGTTATAATTTAATATTGATTATATGTAAAGATTAATTAGCAATAATTATGATAGTTACATATAATTAAAATATGATAAATAGAATAATATAATTATGATATTTACATATAATTAAAATATGATAAATAGATATCAATTATATTTATGGCAATGGCAGTTGCAGCGCCGTTGTTGCCCCGTCGCCACTGTCGCTGCCGTACGTTCGTGTCTGCCCGCGTTTGCTGCTGCTGGCGGTGTTGTCGAGCCGCTGCAGCTATCATTGTCGTTTTTGAGTCCGTGGGTCGGGTCAGGTCAGCCCTGTAACCCGCACGGGTCGGGTTCGGTTTGGCCTGTTTAGACCCTAGGTCAACTCGGGTTCAACCTGAACCCGACCTATCCCTTTGTAGAAAGACATTTTTATAGTATAATAATTATTAAAAATGATTGTCTTGTGAGATCATTGATAGCATATATTAAAAATGATATTGCAATGAATTTTGAGGTAGAATCAATAGTTGATGATTTTGATGCTATGAAGAAGCGTCGGACATAATTTAAGATGCTTTATCTTAATCATGGTTCTAATAAGATGACATTATCTGATACAGCCATTTTTCCTTTCAGGTTAATTGAAGCAGCTTTCTGACTGACCTACGATATATGCTTGCTATGTATGTGGCATATATTATTTACTTTTGCAAGAAGAGGAATATATTTGATGTCCTGTGGCCAGCCTTCTTCCTACTATTAACCTGCTGAAGTTACTGGAATTTTGCTGTTCTGTTGCATTTATTATGAACAAACGGATCATTCAGTTGGTGGACAAAAATATCTGTTTCTTTCGATTCATCCGAACTGGTATGTGCCTAATTGTTTCTCTTCACTCTTAAGGTATGCTACTAACTAATTAAACTCTATTCTCACTTCAACTTCTCAAACAGTCTTATTCATCACAATATTTGTTTTTTTTTTGTCCATATACATAATTAAAATAGATATTAATGCTTCGTTTGGGATGGTTTTTTTATTGCTTCTTAAAACAGCTTTTATATAGTAAGAAAGCCGTCCCAGATTTCGTTTGGGACAGCTTCTTTTTGTTGCTTTCTAAAACGGTTTTTAGTACAAAAATTTTGTACTAAAAAGTAGTTTTATGAAGTAGCAAATAAGCTGTCCCAAACGAAGCCTAAGTTTGATCTATAAGAGTAATTGAATGTCTTCATTGGCTTTCATTCCACTGAAAAGGATATAAATGCTATAATCCTACACGAGAAAAAGTATGTGTCTATTAATGTCACTTTCAATGAAAATAATTTTTATTTTATTGCCACTTATTATCTTAAGATAGAAATATCATTTACAAATGATGCATTTCTCATAGAAAATAATTATATTCCATATCTAAGCCACTCCTCTACAGATCAAGCTTATATCAAAACTAACTTCCAACTCAGAAATTACAAGTTTATTCAAGGAGAATGTTATCTTAATCGACAAAAGTTCAATCAATTGAATCAATCTGTGGCATTGAATTCATTGAGGGTTTTCTTATTGATTTTTAAAACAGTTTTTTTAGTACAAAGCTGATTTAAAAAGAAATATTCTATGAAGTTGATTTAGTACAAAGCTGATTTAGTACAAAGCTGTTTTTTTATTCTATGAAGTTCAATCAATTGAATCAATCTGTGGCATTGAATTCATTGAGGGTTTTCTTATTGATTTTTAAAACAATTTTTTAATATTTTTGTACAAAGCTGATAAAATATATATATATATATATATATATATAATTAAACACTCAATGAATTCTCTCAAAATCGTAATCCTATTTATTCTTGTAAAAACATCTTTTGAGTTAAGAGTGGAGTAAAGACCACAAAATTTTAAAATATCTTTATATTTCTTCCAATACTTTTATAAGAATATTTCACGTATACCATTTAAATTTTAAAATTTTTAAATTATTTAGAGCGAACTATTTAGACTTATTAAACATATTTTTAAAATAATCAACTCCGCTAAAAAAAAATTGTTGAATCCACAACTATTTAAATGCTTCGGGTAATTTTAAATTAATGGGAATATTTTGCAAAGTTTTTTCAACATTATCTACAATTTTATCTGAGCTTGTTTTGGAAATGTAATTTATATAATTATGAACTAATCTTTGTCACACTTAATCAAGTTGCTGACAGATTTACTATGAAAAAAACATCTTAATTATCGGCTAACAAGCTTTAGTAAAAATTATTTTTTATTAGATTCAGGCGTCAAGCTAGCTTAATTATAACCTGAAAATGGACGCATATAAAGGAGACACCTCCCTGCTAACTATCTGAAGTTACGAAATGTTGAGCAGGGCTTCTTGCAGCTGTGCGTTTGGAGAAATTAAAAAAAAAAAAAAACTGAAATGGCGATCGGCTTCAATGTAGAAGATGTGTGAGAGAAGAGCTGTCCGAATAGCGGAATTTGGCAAGGATGAAGAAGAAAAAAGCGTAATTTTCAGGTAATCGTAAGGGTAATTACGTATTTCTCATACCTTGAAATAGCGGGAAGCAGGGGAATGCGGGGGAAATATTATTAGGTGCGGAGTGCGCACCGTCCACACAAACATTGGATATCTAGCGGTACTCAGCGGTACCGAGTGCCGGTAACTAGCGCCGAACAATAGTTGTGCGGACGGTTCTTTCCGTCCGCACTCCGCACCTAATAATCTCTCAATGCGGGGGCTATTTTCGGACAAGAAAAGCAACTGCAATACGTGAAAATTTTAACAACGGAGCACGATCCCGTAACCTCAAACCACATTGTGGTTACGTTTCGAAACATACAGCAGGTAAAATTTGTCCCAAACGCATCCTTAATTGAGGTTACATATGTTACTGAACTTTTTTAATGCTTTACAAGATATGATTATAATCTAAATAGAGAAACAGCTAAAAAAACGAAAGAAAAAATGATATAATAAATTTTAAGAAGATACTATAGTTATTTAATTTTCAAAGGGTTTGAAGGTTCTACTTACAAAGAACAATTTCTAAATATTTATTTTCATATGTCGAAATTAATACATAATAATAATTATGTCTACACATATCGCCACATAAATCATATTAACATAAATTTAATAATAATTAAATATATTTTAAAAGTACTATAACAAAGTATCTATACACTATTAACCTCAATATATTTTGACAATTTAAAAAAAAAAATCTTTTACTTGAAATCACACCAAAATTTTGAAGTCCCAAAATATCCACCAAAGATTCATCAAAAGAACATAATGAGATTCACTATAGAAATTTCTCATGAGCAAGAAATTCACTAATTTTTATTAGATTTAAAGTAAAACAAACAAACCATCTAACAATGAATTTATGTGCTTTGTAACTTTTCTCAAATATAATGAATTTTTTTAGATTAAAATTACATAATATTTGAAACTTCTATCAAATATATTTATATTTACTTTAATATGTAAGAGCACCCCAAGTTTTAATGCCTAAACTAGTAATAATTTTGGTCAAACTCCAAAAATTCAGCCAAATCTAAGGATTGAAAAAACAGTAGTTCACAAAAAGAAGCAGCTTATAAGAGACAAACACAAACGATTCTTACAAAGTTGCAGAATATGAGCTTATTTGATAAGTCATCAAGCACACACCAGAATTATAAGAACAGTTACCGTAGCATTTTTGTTTATTGATTTTATGAACTCATTAGGCCTCGAGCTCCTTCAGAAAATCCGAATGATCCACAAAAACCTGAATTATAACATTCTATATGTTAGCATCGGTACTGTAAAACCTGCTGCAAAACAACTTTTATAAGACAAATTTTTAAAGAAAGAGAGGAAAATAAAGATTTTTTCGAAGTCTTTCCAATTCCAATAGTTGGGATAAGTGCAATGATAACAATGTTAATAGCGTAATTTTAAAAAATGGGGGGAAATGCTTCAATTGGCTAAAATAGAAAACCAGAATTCAGCCATAGGCAACAGTTTTGAAAATATTGCAATAAACACATGATATATAGCACAATGTTAGCAATTAACAATCTGATAGATCGGTCCAGCCGGTCCTACGGGACTCCTACGGGACTGGCTCGTTTGAAACGGCGGAAGTTCTCTGTCTCCTGTACACATGATTAGACCGCCCAAGTATGACAAACTGTTTAAAAAGTATTTTGAAGGGAGTTAGGAGGGAAATTTGAATGTAGAGACTATTTAGATATTTCCTTTTGGATTGTATGCATTAAAGAGTTTGTTTTCCTAGGCTTAGGGCATCTTGAATTTGGCGGGAAATTTGAGATCTCTTATGTTTTTGGGCTCTAGCGATGTCTAGAGATTTGGGAGAGATAGATCCTCCTCTCGAATAGAGGATCAATTATATCTTAGTATTTTCCCGTCTCCATTTCATCAAATAATACAAATTCTCTACTGTTTTTTCGGTTTTGCATGGATTTTTGTGGAGAAGTTTCGCTATTTTTCAAATATTGCAAGGAAATTCTTGATATCTACAAATGTTTCATATCAGAATCATGTAAACAGAATGAAGAACTCACCACTTTCCAGCCATCTGGATCGAGGAACGAGGTGACCTTGGTGTTAATTCCTGGAATTGGACCAGGTTGCCGGGTTATCTTTCCTCCAAGCTCTTTGGTCACCAACTCAACCACTTGAGCACTTTTATATACATCTTCAGTGCTAAGAGCAACCTGAAAAATGATTTAACAGAAGAAAAATATAATAAGAAATTCTGGAATTTGCAAACATATACTGGAATATGAATTTCTAAATCATAGAGCTAAAGATATAAATGTACCTGAGCATAAGCATTGCCTTTAGTGTACTCTGTCACATCATAATTGTATGTCAATTCAAGAACTGTGGTCTCATACTCATCAGCATAACCCATCATAGCAATGGTGTACTGAAATTCAATGCAAGAAGGAAGGGTCGTGATTGAATCATCAAAGAAATTGATTTAGGGGTGAAATATGATAAAGACAGTCATAATCTTCCCAACTATAGCAACCATTGATTAAGGCTTCGTTTGGAACAATTTTTTTAATGCTTCTTAAAGCGGCTTCCTAATATCAAAATTTAAACTTTTGTAATAAGAAGTTGTTTTAAGAAGCAGTAAGAGAGCCATCCCAAACGAAGCCTAAGAAGCATGAAAGTCACTTACCTTGTATGCTGCATTATCAGATTTCTTCAATAACTTCATCCCACAAGCCTGGTATGGTCATTTACAATATTAATTCAATTGAACTAAATAAATTTATAAAACTTGGCCAACAAACCACAGGAATGGTATTGCAGAAAAGTAAAGGAAATGTTACTCATAATAAAAAGAAATTCTAAAGTTGGCAAATTAATTTTATTTTCTTTTGTTTTTGTTGTCAAATTATTAGATGAGTTGTTTTAGATGGGAGGGATTGCTTATTAATGTTTTGTTAGACCAGTCCCCATTGGACCAGGCCAACCGGCCCTAGATAAGGGGACGGTTCAAATATATAGAAGGCGGACCAAAGGGGGTCTGCCTCCTTTGAATTAGCAGCCATTAGGGCTACCAACCATGGAAGGTGGGGCCCATGGGAATAATGGGCAATTAAGAGAGGGGAGGGGCGGCTAGGGTTAGAGAGGAGGGATTTGCTTTAAATAAATAAGAGATTAGGAGAATTAGGGCATGCATGATTATTGTTTTCTCTTGGAGTCTCTTAGTGGTTTTGGGCTCTAGATTCATCATCTAGAGATTGGAAGAGAACGATCCTCCTCTCGAATTGAGGATCAATTGTATCTTTGCTTGTTCTTGTTTTTGGTTTGATTCCTATAATACAATCTATTGCTTTTAGATTGTTTTCATTGGAGATTTTGAAGTTTTCTCGCTGTTTTCACCAATTATTATTAGGTTTGCTTTATATTTAGTATAGTGATTATTGTTAGGTTTGCTTGCGAACTCAAGTATTTCCCATTAGGGTTTTCCGAACTCAAGTATTTCCTATCATGCTTTATGACGAAGTAAACAATAATTTATGTGATGAATAATGATAAATTTGGATAATTTTAAAACAAAATATATTAAGGTACTTAATTTGGGGGTTTAGCTAAAATTGTTTGATTTAGTTATTGTTTTAAAATCATGAAATATGGGGATGAACTCATGCTCTTTAGTTTCAGTTCACCTCTTTTCTATATATTTTAACTAAGTACAAGAAAATCAATTAATTAATTTAACATAGATATATGTGTGTATATAGACTACAAGTGTTCTTGGGTATGTGGCAGCAGATTCTGCTTTTATGAATCTAATAATGGCTCTGGAGTCTGGATACAAGTCCTAAATCTCGAGGTCCGAGAATTTTAATTATTAAGAGATCAGTAGACCATTCAATGTTATGGTTATTTCCGCTTGACATTTGCTAGTATCGAGACTATATGCAATTGCCTTGGATTTTGAGTTTGTTGATTGGTGTCCTTGATACAAATCAACACCATGTGTTCATAATTGTTAGTCACATATGACAAAATGATATGTACCGTTGGAGAAATTATTCTGTGCGAACGTCGGACACAACTCCACATCCGGGAACGAATCAAGTGCAGCCATGTCAGTAATACCAAGCCGCGGTACCGCACAAAGGGGTGACATGGCACATTCTGGTTAGTCTCCGGACGGCATTCAACGTCCGCACATAATAATTTTTCGTACCGTTGAGTGAGTAAATAATTTTGTACTCCTGTTTTATGCTCTACATATATTATCTCCACCTAATAATTTCTCTAAAACAAGTGTAAGATGCAGGCACATGGAGAAAAGTAGAATGTCAATATAGTGCCAAGATATTGTTAAAATAAAATAAATCCAGAATGCATTTAATTTTGCAAGTGATGAACAATATTGGTTTTAAGAAGGATAACTAGACTTTCCAATGGAAACATCTGAAAGCACCTCTTCTGTAAATAGGCACAAATAACAACTAAAAAAGTTCATATTCTATGAAGTTTATCCTAAGCAAACATGCAGAAAAAAATATTTTAACATCATACCTTTTCATAAAACTGAATGGATCGATCAAGGTTCCCAACTCGCAGCATAACTTGGCAGAGAGGCTCAGGTGTGGGGCCCCTCTGAATTAGCTCAAAGATGTAGCCGTCTGGATCTTGAACAAAAGCAATTACAGTGGTTCCTCCCTTAACAGGACCTGGTTCACGTGTGATCTTGCCACCCTTGGCCCTGATATCCTCCACCAACTTGTAAATCTGGAACAACACCAAAATTTCTTCATAAATAATGCATATCTTGATTCAAATAAAAACTTTATATAAACATGACATGAACCATGTTGACATACATCTTCAGAGGCAATAGCAAAATGCCCAAATCCTGTGCCAATATCGTACTTATCTACTCCATAATCTATTTTTAAAAAAAAAATAGTAAGTAAAATGCAAGTAATAAATAACATACATCTAAGATTCAAATAAAAGAGTAAAAGATCGAGATTTCAGTAAGAGAAACATTGAAAATGAAAAAAGGTTTTTGAAGACAAATTATTTACACAGCAAGATTTCTTTAAAAAAATGATAAGCCATACTGTATGTCAATTCTACTACGAAATGGGAGTCTTCAGGACCAAATCCAAGAAAAGCATTTGAATATTTCTCTTCTGGAACATCTCTTTTCCTCAGTAATTTCATCCCAAAGCATTCAGTATAAAACCTAAGCAAACATCAAAGGTAAAAGTTATGGATTAACAAATACTAGTAGCTATACTCCAATACAAACTTATTAAGGTAACAATAATTGACGGAAAGCACACTTGATGGTTCGGTCCAAATCTCCAACACGATAAACAGCATGCAAGAATCTGCGCTTATCCTTTTTTGCCCATTCAAGCAAGCTTTCAATTTCGACACCCGTTTCAGTGACTTCCCCCGATGCCATCTCCAATTGCTCAAATTACAGTTCTGTCCACATGACAAGAAAACAGTTTATGATAATGTATTAAGAAATGCATAGGTTCATTTTCATGACAAAATGAATGATCAAACTCTCAGCTGTTGGAGTTTCACTACTACAATTGAAACTGAAAATCAGAAAATACAAAAGAAGCGATCAGAAATAGAAAAAAAATTATGGTAACAGTACCAATTTGAAGAGAAATTAATAGGTGTGGATGATGGATGTAGTGGAATACAAGAGTACATAGTTGTGTTTTTGGTGTGTATTTATAGCTATGTACTTCAGTATTCTGCACAGAGAAACCAAAAATGTCATCCACACCTAATAGTTTCTACAATTTGAGGAAGCTGTTAACTATGGTAGGTTTAATGATTTGTATAAGAAAATTGCCAACATACAAAAATGCTGAAGCAAGTCAGTTGGTTGTTCCTACACCATCCTTTGCCCAAAACATCCATTACTGATACACAATGGAATAATTCACCTCAAGTTTAAATAACTCACCTAGTTCTTTATAATCACACAACCAGAATAACTAAAAAAAGAATGTAAAGACACGAACAAGTGGATTCTTACAACTCTATCATAACCAAATTAGCACCATGAGCTTGAGTCAAGTCTAATTGGACTCGGCAAACATGGCTCCAAACCACAAACTTAAACCCATGGGCAAATATAACCACTAAAACATTGGTGTTCAATCACATGTAAATAATCCGATGTGGGACTATTTTAACTTACTCTACTTGCACTCTAAAATATCATGAATGTAATCAGTAAAGATCAAAACATTTCTAATAAAATTTTTTTGAAGGGAATCCTTCTGCTCCAAAAATCTGAATATTCCCTTGCATGGCTACAGTTTGAATTTCAATACAAATAAAGATTGATACATAAAACAACTGACCCAAAATAATTGGGATAAAGAAAATATTGATGTTGAGTAAATTGGTGTATCATATTACTATGCCAGCATATTAAAGATAATCTGAAAGAAGTAATAAATCTTAGCAATTTTTGCACTGTAATATGTGGAATGAAACAACAATCACCAATAAAACTCGACAGAAAAACAAAAGACGAAGGCACCATAACAAGTGAAATCAGTTTCCATATCTGAAAGGATTTAGGATCCTTTTTGCCATTTAACGCTCATAATCTTAAAAAAGGTTTTATACTTTTATCACATGCAAAGAAGGTCATTGACTGAACAGACTAAACTCAGCAGTCCATAGTAAATGATGATTTCAAATAATTAATGTTTCCCATCCTAAGCTTCCATGATACCTGGATTCAAACCCTACTTCACTATTATTCATTCAGAACTAGAAAAAACTAATGCATAACAATCGGCAAATCATAAACGGCTTAAAAATTCCATGTAAACCGACAACTTTCTGGCTCCCGTACCAAGCAAAACACTAAGAACAATATTCAATGAAGCATTAAAACAAAAACTAAGTGATCACAACAAAAAACTTCGGGTTCGGAACTAAAATGCCCTTTCACTGTTAAAAAACACAAGAGATTACGGTAAAACCCCTTGTTATGTTTGTTAAACCCTATACGAATCTATACCACAAAATCCTCGACGGAAACACTAGAAAGGGAACGAACAGTAACAAGACACTCATCAAATTTTCATCAGAGCCCACTCTGGCCAAAGATATACACGATCAAGTCATGATCGCGAGCAAAACAGAATCCATTCACTACAACAACTGATATGAATAGCAGAAATTCAGCATCTAATTAATCAATTAGATAGAATTGCGATCAGAATCAAATGAAAATATAGAGGAGAAGCATACCGAGTCGACAGCGTACTGCGAGAAAAAAAAGCCCTAGAAAAAGCTGTAGAGAAGCTCTCAAACCGCCGATGGCAAAGCGGTGTCATACCGCAATTTTCTCCATTTTTTTTATTTAATTTTTGGCGCTTTGTATTTGGATGGAAATTGCGTTGAACTGAACTAAGTTAGCTTAAGGGCCGTTTGGGAAATAAGTTTATAAAATTATTATTACATAAAACATTTTTTAAGTAAAAATATTTTAAAAATATGTATATAATCAAATAAAAATTTAGATTAAGATTTGAAATATAAAGCAATAAGAAAGTTATTCCAAACAAAACTTAGCTTTATCCAGATAACTTTCTTATTGATTTCTAAAGCAGTTTTTTAGTATAAAAAATTTTACTCCGATAAAGCATTTTAAAGAACTTTATTAAATGTGTTTAATTAATATTTAGCTTTATTTAAAAATAAAGAAAAGAAAAAAATATTTAGCTTAATTAACTAAATAAGAGATTGAATATAAATTTTTTACTGTTATTATTATTATTTTATTTTATTAATTATTATCTATAGTAGAATTTCCAAATGAAATTTATTTTCTTAATCACTTAATGACAAGGAAATTAACCCTAATTTGATTTTATATATTTAATTTAAAGAATATCTTTCTTTCAATTTACGATCATAAATTTATGCTTTTGATAAAGTAGAAGAGGACCACTTATCACTTTTTATTTATTGTAGTGATGTGAGGTTATTTTTTATTTTAAATTGGACTATTTAGAACCAATGAGTCAAATTAAACTTTGAAATTATAAATTTGAATTGAATTAACAATTAAAAATTTGTAGACAGATGTATTAATCATAAATAAGTTTGACATGTAAATTGCTAAATTTGTTTTATATTATTTTATTTGATAAAAAAAATAAATTTAAATTAATGTATATATATTCTTAAAATCAAACAAACCTATTTTTTTGATTTAATTATATATATTTTTAAAAAAATTAAGTGTCTTTGTCTTTGGATGAAAAAGGATTGAAGAGTAAAATGAAATAAATTGTAAAAGGAAAGAAATGTATTTGAAATTTTAGAGTTATTTAAATGAGTGTAAGATAAATACATGTTATTATTATTATTATTTTATTTGAAGTAAAATGAATGCAATGTGAAGCCCAAAGATACTAGTGGGCAAGTTTTTGAGCAGCAGCGGCTGACGTCTATCGAAGGGTGGCATAAGTGAATAACGAGCGACTAGTGGCAGTGGTAAGAGGCAACAACAATAACAGAATTTACGACGTATTTGAATCGATTAAATCTAACGATTTTCAGATACATCAAAATAAAAAATAGTTAGTGAATTCCAAATGCATGAACTTTTAATTCTAGACTTCTTTTACTTCAAATCATACACCATTATTTTTAAAATTTATACATTTGAAATACTTTACATCCTTTTATTTATAACCAAATGGCCCCTTTATAAAAAATTTCCACCCTCGCATGCATCACAATAAAAGGAATTGCGGCATATGATATATCAATAAATATTTTTATTAATTTAAAATAATTTTAATTTTTAAATATTAAAATATATATGCTTAAGCTCTTACAATAACATTTATAGGCTTTATTTGAGACGACTTTTTTAATACTTTATAAAATAGTTTTTAGTACAAAATTTTTTTTAAATATAAATTTTTGTTCTAAAAAGCTGCTTTTTAAAGTATTAAAAAAATATACCAAACAAAATCTTATTAGATTGGGAGATCTGTTGAGTTTGAAGCAATAAATGAGGGTAAAGAACCATTTATTTTGCAACCTTTACCATTTAATGTTCTCATAGTATATATGCAGAAATGAACAAGCTTTTGTTTAAGCGGCCTGTTAAAGCCCACTTATTCTGGGGCTTAATTGGGCCAGTCCAAACTTAACACTAAGTAAACATTGTCTATTGTGGGCCGTGTAAAGTTAGCCTGTACTGAAACTAATTCAAAAATGCAAGAGTCGATTTGAATCGTTTCTTAATGGGTTGTAAATCGAATATTTCTTTGAATAAAAGATGATAATTAACTTTTATTTTTTTAACCAAAATCCTTAATATGTATCTGAAACCAAACTGATCTAAAAATTTTTTTAACCTAAATAATCTATATCAGAGGCGGTGATGGTGTGGATAGCATTGTCAACGACTATAGATAGCAGTAGTGACGGGCTGCAAGTGTGTTGGCTACCAGTGACAAGTGGTGATGAGATATGGGAAAGTCAAGCTAGTTTATTCAAAAAATCACCGAGATTTGAATATTTCATAATTAAAATAAAAAGAACTAATTGATGAATTTCAAATTCATGAATAAAATACTTTGCATTGATTCTTTTCCAACTAAATAGCCAAATTTTCAAAATCCAAATAGTCAACATTATTTGTCATTTTTCCTATAAGTGGTAATTTTACTACAACCCATACTTTAGATGATAAGATATCTATATGAGATTATTTTATTAAATGCTAGAAAACAAATACTTTTTTCAACTTTACAATATAGCCTAGTGATATCTCATGTAACAATAATGCATGACGAGAGTCAAGAGATCTTATAATATTGATATTATATATATAGATAAGTAGTTTGTCTCAACACAATCATCTAGACCTTAAACATCTCTTCACGCATGTTCAAGTAATGTTACTACTGGTAGGTATGGTTTTATCGATGATTATTTAAGCATAGATTTGTATAGAGAAGAAGAAGCTCTTGAAAGACATGATGATGATGTGGAGAATAATGTTACATATGAGAGTTCTCCATTAATTTATTTGTATGCTTTTAATAATATTGAAACTAATGATGTATATTGGCAAAAAGAATATTTTCACATACACGAGCAAATCATTTAAGGAGTGAAATGTTGATGATTTGTGTGATTATCAAATGGGAATTCTATACATGACAAATGTTAGAGCTATTCCGCCTGCGAGTATTTAGTATGGACTTGACATTTCTATTTAAAAAATACAATGGAATATTGCTTTTTGCCATTGATATTAATGGATTTGTCATTTGCTATAATTGAGAGCAAAAATAATGATTCATGGATCAGCTTATTTAGAACATTAACTTATGTAATAGTGCCCATTTAGTTGCAAAGATGCAGAGGAAATGAAAATTATACAATAATGTTCGTTAATATCTAGAGTAGAACTCTATAATAGGTAATGCATAGGGAACTTTAACTTATACATATCCTTATTGCTGAGGGCAGCTAGAATATACGCGGGGCTAGAGTTATAATATTACATCTTAGCATTGTACGTATATCCAGCTCACGCATAGATAACACAATATTTTTTTGACGTGGAAAACCCCTGGAAAGGGGAAAAGCCACGGGGTCTGGCCTAGTCTTAAATTATTCACTAGTATTTGAGTAGATTATAGTTGGCTGACTTGTCTATGAGGGCAATCATATTACAAATTTCAACAGTATGGTTGAAATCTAATGACAAATGGGGACGAAAATTCGGTGTTACTTGGTGGCATGGCGGAAGTCCGACGTTACTTAGAAATTCGGGTGTCCGTTGTTAGTCTGGGTGGTTTGGCAGAACTTCAGCATCGGGCGATGGTCCGACAGATCTCTGGCCTCGGGCAGTGGTCCCAAAGAACTCTGGTGTTAGGCGGTGGATTGACAGAACTTTGGGCGTCAAGTGGTGGTTCGACGGAAGTCCTGGCATCAGGTGGTGGTCCGGTGGAAATATGGGCATCATGTGGTGGTCAAACGGAACTCCGGGCGGTGATTGAGGAGGCGAGGAGGCAAGAGCGATCTTTGATCTCTCTCTTGTTTCCTTAGGCTTAGGGTCCCCTTTTCAGGAAAAATGATGGATATATTTATATTGTATAGAGTGGCATGGCCCGTAAATTGGAGGAAGATCAAGCGCAAATGGGGAGTGGTTTGGATGGACGGCCGATATTGAATCCCTTAATTGTAGATTGTTCGCTAGACATTTGAAAGTCTTAATGATGTCAGAATTTTGTGATCTTGGGCTCGTTGGATTCGTCTCATCGAGCCGCTCAATTCGACTATAATAATATCACGTTTGGAAACCGTTTGGTAATCCAAATTGTGGTTCAAAATTTCCAACGATGCTTTGGGCCCTTGATTTGGACCCATTTGGGGTTGGATTGAGTCGAATTTGGTGTGGTTGGGTTCATATTTTTGTGACGTTCAATTTGATTGTAAGTTTGCTGAAATTGGAGTTTGGATGGTCCCAATTTTAATTTTGGAAGTTTCCAACTTGATTTTGACTTGAGATTCACGCTTGATCATGAATTTTTTTTTATGATGTATCACTTATTGATCACCTTATGAAGTTAAGATTCATAAATGAAAGTAGGAGGTGTTCCCTTACTCGAGTACAAAATGTGGCTATCTTTTTTATTTGAATATGAGCGTGCTTGAAGGCACCCATTGTAGTATCAATACATTGTAGCAATAGACCTAGGTGAACAAACCTAATTCACAGCTAGCAAACACTCAATGCCAATGCCATATGTAGAATAACACGAGTAATGTATGGATAATATATCAAGCTTCTAGATGCACGAAGGAACGACTAAGTGGGGCATCTTTTTCATCCACCAAACCATTATACTTGATCGGGTAGCAATGCTATTTCACATAAATATCGACACAAGCACTAGTGTTTTGTTATTTTAAACTTGCAATGTAAAATGATATGATATATTATGAATGCAATGTTTTACTATATATTTATGTTAGCTAAATACTTCAAAATGAGAATATTTTTCTACTTATATGTTGCATGTGCTATCATAGACATTACCAATATTATCATACACAAATATTTGTAAAACTTTTTACTAACATCAGTAAAGTAAATACATAAATTAAATAAAAAACATCAAAGATAAAAAAATTTATTAAAAAAAAACATGAAAAACAAATTTGAGGAGAGAGATAAGCTATCTTCAAGTCGCCACTCGCTCGCGATGGCCTATCTTCCCCTCGCGATCCCCACAACTTCTCCTCCACCCACCCGCCTACTCCCTCTAAGCCCTATATCAAATCAAAGAAGAAAGGAACCTTCTTTCCTTCGTCTACCCATTAGCCACCAACTCCGATTCCAAAATGCGCGGCGCCGCCCTCTGGCAGCTCGGCCAATCTCTCTCCCGTCGCCTTTCCAATTCCTCCAACCGCCCAAAACCCCGCTTTTTTGCCGCCGCCGCTGCCGAGCTTAAGAAAACCGCTCTCCACGACTTCCATGTCGAGAACGGTGGAAAGATGGTCCCATTTGCGGGATGGAGCATGCCGATCCAGTACAAGGATTCCATCATGGATTCCACCGTTAATTGCCGCGAGAACGGCGGCCTATTCGATGTCTCCCACATGTGCGGCCTTAGCGTCACCGGAAAGGACTCCGCGGCTTTCCTTGAACGCCTCGTGGTTGCCGATGTAGCGGGTCTCCGCCCCGGCACCGGCACGCTTACTGTTTTCACTAACGAGCGCGGTGGAGCCATTGACGACTCTGTTGTCACTAAGGTTCGGGAGGATCACATCTACCTTGTCGTGAACGCTGGGTGCCGTGATAAGGATCTTGCTCATATAGGGGAGCACTTGGAGGCGTTCAAGGCCAAGGGTGGCGACGTATCTTGGCACATTCATGACGAAAGGTCCCTGCTTGCCCTGCAGGTTTGTTCAGATCTGATCATCTGACTTATGCTGTTTTCCATTATGCTTCGCTATAGAGGATGATTTGGTTGGAAGAAATTAATTGATGAAAAATCAAATCCATTTTTTGTTTAGTCAATTTTCAAATTCATGATTCTCTAAGAATTTATTGTTTTTTTAGATTCAGTTGTGTAATTTCTGCAATGATTTTGTTCAAACACTAGGTTTTTTTTTTATAATTAATCCATCGAGCACTGGATTTCTCGCACAATAATAAATAGAATTTGGTTTATTAGTTTCATTAACCTCCTTGAAGATTAAGATTGAAATTTTATTAGTTTCTTCAGCGATTCGAAGAAAGAAGTTTCATCAATCTTCCAAGTTATTTATTGGATGCCAGGTATTGTTTGGGTTCCAACTCATTGCAAGAATGTTACTGAAACAGTTGGATTTGGCTTTCAGTAATGATTTTTTTTTTTTTTGTATCAAGCAATACACACAAAATAAGTAGAGGTAATTTCAAATCTAAATCATCTTAGTTATTCCAAAATTTGATAAATCATACACCAAGAAGAGGTCAGCTGTTTGTCAAGTGTTTAATCTTGGTTTTGAAAAGAATTTTCATAGCAATGTTAGGGTTTTGCAAAGAGTCTATTGGAAGGTGTGGGCGGCAGGAGAAATGGTGATTTGATGATTTGGGGAGGATTGGTGGTAACTTTTGATCCCAAGTTGAAACCATAGATAATATTGGTGAAATAGTGGGAGGATCGAAAGCTTTCTTGAACTCTACGAGTCACCTTCAATCTCTTATCTTCAGCTTTGTCTGAATCCTTATTTCATTTTCATTTGGATTTACCATTAGCGAAGAAGATAGAGAGAGAGTCGAGCTTTTCAAAAATCAATTTCAAAGATTTTGGTGAGATTAATTCCTTGTGGATTTGCAAGTTCATCTAACCAAGTGGCAGGATTTGACAAATTCATCCTTTTTGTAAAACATTATTAAAAAATTCAAGCAAGCAAATTGGCCTAGGAGTAGCACAAGCTTGATCTGACTTAATGCTCAGGCCGTAACCTATAGCCATTACTGTTTGATGAAATGCCTCAGTGCTTATTTCTCAATGTTTAAGTATACTATGGGAAATTATAATCTTTCAATTTTTAGCCGCTTTCTACTTGGTTAGATTATCTAGTGATGTGTTGCGTTAAGGATGGCATGATATGAAGATTATGGTACACTAGTTCATCTTCCTAATCCATTGATTTATATTTAAGCTCAGTTTGATTTGCTTTATTGGTAATCTCAGGGCCCACTTGCTGCACCAGTTCTTCAATTTTTGACAAAAGATGATTTAAGCAAAATGTATTTTGGGGAATTCAAGACATTGGACATCAATGGCTTCAAGTGCTTTCTTACAAGAACTGGGTATGCTTCTTAAACATAATTACATCTTATTTTATTATGTAAAAAAATAGAGAAAATTTACTCTTTTTTGAAATAGAATTGCTTACACCTAAAATAAATACAAGATCTAAGAATCAAACCTTCTGTATTTCACAAGAAAATTATGAATTCAGTTGAAGGCTTAGTTTTGAATTGAGTGATAACTACAATAAGGGCATCTCCAACCGAAAAACCCATTTTCCACTCCAAAATGCAGCAAAACTTCAAAATGTAGTAATTCATCACCAATTGAACGACATTTTCTCTTTTCTTTCGCGTGCTTCCTGCGAAGGTAACAATTTTCTCCTCTTTCTCGTGCTTTTTTCCTCTTTCGCGCGGTTCTTCAGCAAATCCCGTAGCTAATTTTTCGGCGTAGGTGAACAGTCCGACGCCAATATTGGCGTCCCATTGTTCACCTGCCGAAGTTTGACATGAGATTCGGAATTCGAATGGACCAAATGGCTGCAGTTCGGTTGGAGATGATCTAAACAAAGTATTTTTAGGAATCAAAGGGAATGGAAGTTGGGACTGATACACTGATACACTAGTATTAGAACTCATTTTCAATCTAAAATCTTAAACCGATGGACAAGATTACGGCAAAAAGCTTAGATTCCCATGCTGTACCAATTGGGCTCATTAAAATTGAGGCAGTTTTTTAAAATACCAGGAAAACAATTTTTATTTCCTTTTCAATGTGTGATTATTTTTCACTTTCATGTGCATCTCAATGATCTTCCAGCACATGAGTATTCTCCCCTTAGATCAAATGTAATTTTTTCAACATTATCAATATCTTGCAGTAAGAGACTACCAAACCATTTGAAGCCTGTGTTGGACTTGTTTTCTTTTAAACCTTGCTCAACCATATTAGATGTCAAATTTGATGGGAGAACATGAAACACTAATAAACTATAAAGTATAAGAGAATTGGGTTCAATTGTAATGGCATCAAACCTTGCCAAAAACTTGACATAAAGCGTCGATAATGATGTGGAAGGATGATGATTCTGAGCTCAAGGCTATTTAGATAAGCCGAGCGAAACCTTTAGTGGACGATATGCTAACTTGGGTGAATTAGTTATCAAGATAGCCTGACCAAATCTTATTTAACAAAACTAGAAACAGGTAAGAGCTAATCCATTCTAAATGATCAAGCGAGCCAAGCTTTAAAATGACTCAACCTTGGTATGAACTTATTAAGAGCTGAGGAATGGAGTCTTTGTAGATTAAAGGAATGAAACTAGGTTTTTGACTGAGACTCCAGCCTTATATAGTTATAAAAAGATTGTGTAATGCTAGTCATGTAAATAGATGGTCCTGCCCGGTCGAATGCTAATTATGATATATTTGATATATTTATAAGAGTTGAGCAGAGAAAGAGCAAAGCTTCACTAACTTCGAGCTCAACCCGTTTTGATTTGAGCCTAAAAATTGGGCTTGTTCTACTTGGTCTTGGGCGTCATTTTGGTTTGATTCTATATTTTGCGGGCCAATCGAGTCGAGCTCATGCTATTTCAATCCAATTGACATGCCTACAAGTTACTAGGATGACCAACTGAAACATATAAGATCAAACTAGAATCAACTGGACTAGGTAGACAATATTGACAGTTTAGCTTGAGTTCTAGAAGGACAGCACATTGGCCGTCAAGGTGAACATGAGAAACAAAATGTTACAACTAGTTCATTTTCAATTTCTACTCTAACATCGCATGATAGTAACCATTTCTTTTGTTTCTTTGCAGCTCCTTTTCAGATATTTGTGTTACATATTTATTGTGAAAAAAAGAGAGTTCTTTAATCTTTATAATTCATCTATCACATTATATAGACTATAAACTTAAAATCAAATCATTGAATGTGATTTTCAACATGAAAAATTACTCATTTATCAAGGTTCAATTTTTTACCATGCCTTTTACCAATTTGAATCATCATATATATTCTAAATATCATCAACAACACATAAACCATTCATCTAATTCTAAGTTATTTGAAAGCCTATGTGCTTTATAATTGCAATTATGTTCTCATGCATTGGAGATATTCGATGAAAATTTTTCGTCTTCCAATTAATGATATAATGATTTTTAAAGTCCTTGAAATCATTTGTGCCATTAGTTTTAATGAAATTAAAGATGATGATTTTGATTTTATGTTTTAAGCTCATAACATCAGCGCACTCAAATGGAAGGAAAATCATTCTCCTCCTTGGAAGAGAAGTGTCCATCCCATGTAAATGCATGAGCCTCTAAACATGGATTAATTATTCCGTGCGGACATCCATCGCCGTCCGGAGATCAACTAAAATGCGCCACTTCACCCCTTGCTCGGTATCACGGCTCAATACTGCTGATGTGGCGCATTCTGATTGATCTCCCAATAGCATTTTGTGTCCTGTCTCCTCATAAAATAATTTATCCTAAACATGACAGTGGCACTTAACTGAACGGCTTTGTTGTTGATCTTCTTGTGTCAAAATTATTTCCATTTTTGCCTTGTGTCTTTTGTATTATCTGATAAATATATATTTGGTTATTCATTTTCGTAGATGAATGTGAAAGGTATGTGATTGTTGCCAGGTGTGAATTACAATATTTTATGTTTATTGGCTGTAGGAATTGGTATTCTCCTATTCCAATGATTTTGAAATCTACTTCTCTACTGAGGCTTCACTGTAAACCAAAATTGGTTTTCCCTGATCAGGCATTGTTCCCAATTGCATCCGATCAATCTTATTTCAGTGCATTCTGAACTTTCTTTTTAAAGAACCATGCTTGGATCCAAAGTCTATTGATTTTGCTAAAAACGTGTTGAAAAGACCACGTCTTCTACCTGATGATATTAAATTTAGTAGTATGCTGATTATTAACCTGACATTTATGAGAGATTATTATGCGCGGAGTTCAAATACAGACAACCGTTCGGTTTTATGACTGTGAATAGTAAAAAAGCGCAGTTACTGTTTATCACTGTGTTTTTACTATTCATTCATGCTCTTTTACTATTTATTCATGCGCTTTTACTGTTCGCAGTCACAAAATCGGACTATTCTCTGAGTCCGGACTCCGCACATAATAATCTCTCGACATTTAGGGGCTCCTGACTCTATTTCTACTAGTTGTAGCATAAAGCTGCCTCCCAAATGGTGATTTTCATGATGGCATTTAGGCCATTGATGCTGGCTTGCTGAATATGCATAACATGGGAGAAGTGGCAACCTTTGTTTGTTTTTTTTTTCATAGCCCGCAACCTTTTTGAAGTTTTTTTTTTTTTTTTTTTTAGTGAAGTGAATTGACAATTTGAATAAACTAGGCTTTCTTCTCTACATTCGCAGCTACACTGGAGAAGATGGCTTTGAAATCTCAGTCCCTTCAGAGAACGCATTAGACCTCGCAAAAGCTATCCTAGAAAAGTCTGAAGGGAAGGTGAGGTTAACAGGCCTCGGTGCTCGTGACAGCCTGCGTCTCGAAGCTGGCCTCTGTCTGTATGGTAATGATATGGAACAACACACCACGCCAGTAGAAGCTGGCCTGAGCTGGGCAATTGGAAAGAGAAGAAGAGCAGAGGGCGGTTTCCTCGGCGCAGATGTGATCCTCAAACAACTTGAACAAGGACCTTCCATCAGAAGAGTCGGTTTCTTCTCCTCAGGCCCTCCTCCAAGAAGCCATAGTGAGATCCTAAGCTCAAATGGTGAAAAACTTGGTGAGATTACCAGTGGAGGTTTCAGCCCATGCTTGAAGAAGAACATTGCAATGGGCTATGTGAAGTCTGGTTCACATAAACCTGGAACTGAAGTGAAGATTGTTATACGTGGCAAATCGAATGATGCCGTTGTAACGAAGATGCCTTTTGTCGCAACGAAATACTACAAGCCTTCTTAATGGCACAAAGGTGCTCTCTTGTAGCCTCCTAAACTCTCTGCTGGATCTGCTCTGATTCATGAGTTCTGAATGCTGTAAACATACATGACATTCTTCATTTAAGTCTCTGAAGGCAGTTTGCTTCTGCTGTTTGTTTCCAATTTTTTGTATTGAACTATTCTGATGAGTTGGATATTAGTTTTTCACCATAGTTATATTATGTAAAAGTTTAATGGTGTGCGTGTAAATCTCCATAATAATATTATGGATTGTGCTAATTTTGAATGCTGGGGAGAGAATATATGTGTTTGATGGGAGTGGACACATTGAAGTCACTGGGTGGATGGCTAGATGGACATGGTCATTGTCGGGTCATCATCACATTAAGCTTAAGGGACATATTGCCACTTAAGAGGGTGTGTCATTACCCAACTAATTTATCATCATAACCACCATAAGGATTGAGATAATATATGTCCTTTTTTTGGGTGCTCTTTATTAGGGGTGTCAATTTCGGATCACGGGTCGGGCTTGGGTCAAACTCGGAATTTATCCGGCACTATTCGAGTCAACCTGAACCCGGCCTGTTTTTGCAAACAAGTTGATTTTTTGAACCCGAACTCGACCTGCTTCGAGTCCGGGTCAACCTGACACTACTCAAATGACCCGGGACTAACAAAAAACTTTTGGTTTTCTGGTCAAAAAATGGGTCAATCTCCGATTTTTGGGTCAAAATCAGATCAAAATGGGTCAATCTCGGATTTTCGGGTCAAAACTAATTTTTGGGTCGAAAGCAGTTCAAAATTGGGTCAATTTCGGGTTACTAGTTCAACCCAAACCTGACTTGATTTATAAAACTAGTCAGTTTTCTGAACCCAAACTCAACTATTTCGGGTCTGGGTTGACCACTTGACCCTAACCCAAAATTTGCAGGTCAAACTCGAGTCAGATTTTTGGGTTGTACCAAATATTGACACTCCTACCCTTTACAATCAATGTTAAGAGCTTTTGCTAGTGAATCGCGTATCCCCAAGGCAGACCCATCCTATAAGTTAAGGTGGCATGAGTAAAATAATTATGTGGAGGTTAGGCTTTATCATGTTAGTCACTCTCAAGGGGGTGCTTTTGAGAAAGCATTAGCATGACTTAACTCATTATACTCACATCATGACTACTAAAGTAGGAGTCATAAAAAGGTGAAGTTGCTTTGCGCTTTCATGATCATGAAAGGGAGGTGTACCCATCAAGATTATACCATATTTGGTGCCTTATTCACTTATCCCAAGTTAAGAGAACTATTAGGACCCTCCAGCCTTACTTCATTAGACTAACATGTATGAAACTTTTAGACTTGCAACCTACTAGTTGGTGGCTTAAAAGATAAATAATTTGAAAGTTAGCTATAAAATGTTGGAATTTCTTAATAAGTTATAAAATTACTTAGCTCTTGTTGATGTTGCTTGTGATAACAAGTTTTAAGCTTCATTTGGATTGACTTTTTTATTGCTTCGTAAAACGGGGCTTTAGTGAAAAAATTAATTTTTTTTTACTAAAATTCTATTTTAAGAAGCAATAAAAAAATCGTTCCAAACGAAGCCTTAGTTTGGAGAGCAATGACATCAATATCTCTATGGAATAAGTCATAGTATTTAATAGGATGAAGCGCTGAACATAGGGCTTTCCTTAATGGGAGAAGACCACCACCTAGTTTTGATGGAATTTATAGGATTTAAGAAATATGATTGAATCAATGATTGAGTAATCATTATGGCATTTGACATAGACAATAAGGTATATACAAAATAAAATTATATTTAATTTTTTTTTTTGGTTTATTTTGATAGTATTTTTCTATTGGAGGCAGTGTGATCTTTTGTGGTGTTCCATCCCTTACTAAGAATAGAGGAAGTGGAAAGTGGATGGTGAGCAACACATTCTTTAGTTTGACATAACCCTCAAGTATGCGCCTTTAAGTTTAGCATCGTTGTGCCAATATAAGGATTTTAAGAAATAGGAGGGAGTTTGATTGGCCACTGAGTTTTGTAGATAGTCTATACAGAGCATCACATGCCCTCCATACACAATCACTTATCATGGAAAAAGCAATCACTGTCATACAACAATTGAAGATTAGGAGAACTTCTAGGAGACATCATATCAAAACTAAGGGTTTGTTTGGGACAGCTTTCTAAATCAGAGTTTTAGTTAAAAAATTTCTTGAATTAGAATTTTTTGTAATAAAAAGTAGTTTTAGAAAGCAATGAGAAAACTGTCCCAAATGAAGCCTAAGTCATAATCTACAAGGGTTGATCATAGGCAAGTCATTGAGATTGGTTGGCTTAGAATGTCAATCGAGTCGAAAATCCCTTCAATCTATATTATTGATTTAGTATTCAAAATTAGGCTTTGTAGAGTTCATGAAATCAAAAATTTGAAGGAAAACTACATGGTGATAAGCATGCAACACAATGTGACTCTCTTAACAAGGTCTTGGCTGAGTCTTGTTGAATCAACCCATGCCAAAACCTCATTAGCTTCAAATAAGTTAGTTCAACTTGCTTGAAGCCCTATATATTCAAATGCACAAATTTGATGCTCATAAATTCCTTATGACATTTCTCTTGCATCAAGATTCATTTTAAATTAGGTAAGACTTTTTAGGATCTCAACACTGACAAAATAAATGCTAATATTGAAAACGCACATTAAAAATTATTGGAAAAAGTATTGGAAATGCTCTTAAATTATCTAATGAACAGCAAAGCAACAAATGATGGATATTTTTGAGGATTTGTAAATTATAAGAAATCAATCTTTAAACTAGATGTTTTACTTAGACCTTAAAATATTGGGAGAATTTAGCTCTATTTAATATTGTTGTATAGTATAAAACTATAGTGGGTATGTGTTACCCTTACAGAGTGAGAGTTAGTAGCTTTTGGTGACCGACCTGCTCTAAATAGGTCAATGACGAGCTACTTGTTCTGTGATAACCCTAAATTGGCTCTATGAGAACAATCTCCTATAGGCATGAGTGGATAAGGCCTGATGATCACTGAACGAGCTCATTTGTGGGTCCCACTAGGTGCAAGTTCCTCCATCATAACCCGCTGACTACCTGCTAAACACCTGCGAAGGCATATACAAGTATACAATATTGTCCCTCCCTTATTTATAAAGTAAACTTTCATTATTTATTTATAATTTATCTTATGTCATTTTTCGAATAAATTTCTATTAAAAAAATATAAAACATAGATCATCAAAAGGTCTTACAACATGTTCTCTACATTCCACCAATTTGGGCATCATGCAAGCAACATCTATCATCCAAAACAAATATGATTTTACAATCCATTATATAATAAATAGGGACAATTTTATAGTTAACACCAAAAATCATAATCATTCAATATTTTATTCCTCAAATTCTTACTTTAATGTTGAAAATCATAATTAAAAAAAATATTTTTTTGTTAAATTCCTTATCATTTAATTTTGGCAAGCTCATATCATTGCTATATTATTGGGGCAAATAATTACATCAGACATTATTAAACCCTTTTTTCTCTGATAATTAAGAAAAAAAGCAAAATATTGGATGCTTTCACATTTATTCCTTCAGCAATATTTCTCCATTATCATCATCGAAGTGGTCTATTACTCTATTAATTGAAATGCCATAAATAAATAAATAAAATGGTGCTTAAATTTAGGATTAAATTCACTAAAAAAATTAATTACCAAAATAAAGAATTATTTTATAAAGAAATTATTATTTAATTTTTGAATATTATTAACAACTTTGTATTTAAAATCTTAAATTTTAGTATATTTTAATTATATTTTATATTAATATTTTTTAAAAGAACTGTACCACGAGCTTACGAGTCTAATTGAGATTAGCTCAAATTTGACTTATTAACTCATCAAACTCAACTCACAAACAATTTGTCAAACCCGAGCTAACTCTTTAACCGAGTTGACTCACTTACACCTATAGCTACGCCTATATTTTACCGACGCCTCAGCCGCTTTACTTATACGGCTCCACGCTTTCCTTTCGTGTTCTAATAAGAAAGCCCTAATTCCTTCTCCATACCCACCACTAAGGATTACCCCGGAGGCAGGCGATCAATCATCCTCACTTGAGCAATCGTTTCTTTTTCTCGCGGTGCGCTCTAATCCCTCTCAGATCTTTATGTATCAATCGATCGATTTGGCTTGTATGTTTTCACGAATTAATTTTTTGAGATAAAAGATGATCTTTTTCGGATGTGCAGGCAAACGAAGAAATCCATGGCGAAGAGCTCTTTCAAGTTGGAACACCCTCTTGGTTTGATTCCCTCCTCTCTATCTCTCGCTCCTTTTAATCTAAAGTTTTCCGATTTGAAGTTAGGGTTTCTTTTACATCCTCTTACATGTTAAAATTTTCATGCTTAATTTTTATTTAGAAGGTTGAGTGCCGCCTCTATCATCTATGTGATTGGTTTGATGTTTTGATGATTTTATTTAGTGGCAGTCGTGGGACAGTTTGAGGAAGTAAGAAAATTTCTCAGGTTACGATGTCGTGGAAGCTTGCAGGTGTCCCTGGCCGGTTCTTGATGCAGATACCCATCTTTTATATGTATTGAGTAGGATTTTCCATTGATAAGAATATATTATTGGAGGATGATTGACATGAGAAAATCTAGCACCATCAAGTATGGTATATTTCAATATGTCATAAAGCACAATAATTGGTGGGTAGCGAGTAATTGCTTGTTTTGAATGTCACAAAAGAGAAATTTTTAGTTGCTTATGGATATTTCATTTAGGGGATGTTAGAATTTAAGCAAGCATTAGCTTAAGTCCTTTCAAAAGAATGTTGGGGATTTTCAAATCCTCGTTCTCAGCCCCATTATTGGTCAAATCTAGGATTTTTTAAATTCCACCATTCACCGGCTTCAAGGGATATAAGGATTTCTCCACCGAGAAATTTTAAATACTGAAACAAATAGCCAAACATATTAGTAGTATTTAACAAGATTTAACATTTGTAATGCCAAACAGTTTTCAGATTTTATTGCTCTCACGGTTTACTATACATAGATTTACATGATTTACTAAATTCTACTTGTAGCCAAATAGCCCCTAATTACTTCGTATAAAGTGAATATTTTTTAATATGCGAGCAGCTGTAAATGACGGGAACTTATTAGTTTGGTTGTTCTTGAACTTGTATGCCAAGATCAAGTGAAACGACGGAACTAGTGGCAATATGGTGTTGGTTTTCATATCACATGAATTGACATTCTACAAGTCGGAATTTTTGCTTACTTGCAGACAGAAAATATATAATAAATTTCATTGTTTTCCTCAATGTTCTTTCCAACTTCAAGCAACCAAATGAACCTTTACTTGTATTTGTAGGGGGTTTAGCAATTGCATGCATCCATAACAATGCTCCTTTTATATTTTTTTAAAGTGATCGTCTGCCTTATATTGCATCGGTTAAATTTTTGAGTTCACCCTCCTGACTTTATCTGTATCATGGATTTCAGAGAGGAGACAAGCTGAGGCAGCTCGCATTAGGGAGAAGTATCCTGATAGAATTCCTGTAATGTGCTGTGATTTTTTTGTCTACATCTGATTTGGCGTATTCTGTTCTGATTATTTTACTTACTCTTTTTTCTTTTTTTTTTTAAATGAAGGTGATTGTTGAGAAGGCTGAGAGGAGTGACATACCAGACATTGACAAGAAGAAGTCAGTAAAACATATTCCTTTTTGTATGCTTGGAATTCAATTTAGTTTTTTTTTTTCCATCCTTTTTTCATTAACCTTTACTAATTTGCATTTCCTTACAATTGATATCATCATAATTTTTCAATTTTTTACCAAAACATAAGTTTAAAACTGCCTAAATTATGCTATTCTGCTTTTAAATGTTCTTATTTTCACAAAGGTCAGGAAAGCATGTTTGGTTGTATTTATTTCTTTTCTTACTTTTTTAAAAATTTCCATTGATGCAAAGAGATTGATTTCAAGTTGTCTTTATGTTCCTTAATGCCAGATAACGCTAAAGGTGAGCTTACAGGTATGCATAGCAGCATGGCTATGACTATCTGAGGCTAAAATGTAAATCTTTTTAGCTGATTGAAGGAAATTTATTATTCGTTTTGATTAGAGAGAGTTGCCTTGGATGGTTTGGTCACATTAAACAGAGGTCTTCCAATGACCCGGTTAGGAAAGTTGAGGTATTAGATTTGACTTATATAAGAAAGGTAACGGTAGACCTAAAAAGACTTGGTTAGAATATATTAGAAATGATTTTTTTCTATAAGATTTAACTGAGAATTTGACTTTTAACAGTACAATGACGAAAAAGGATTCATGTAGCTGACCCCACATAGTGGGACAAAGGCTTGATGTTATTTTTGTTGTTGTTTGATTTACAAATTGATTACAATTAAAATGTAGTGAGATTTGGTGTTTACTAGTTTTGCTGAGAATGTTTCAAACAATCATTAGAAGTGGTCAGAACCGTGGAGAGCAAAGTAGCCTAAACTTCTTGCCAAAGAAAGATATCCTCGCCTGTTGCGTCAAAATGATTGTTTCATTTTCATTGCAAATAACCTTTTTTACCCTTTTTTTTTTTAACTTTTCAATTCAACGCTCCTTCTTGGAGAACTGTTTCAATTGTCTTTCTTCCATTAACTTTGATTTTGATGCTTAGGTACTTAGTTCCTGCTGACCTTACTGTGGGACAGTTTGTTTATGTTGTTCGGAAGAGGATTAAGCTAAGTGCAGAAAAGGCCATCTTCATTTTTGTGAAGAACACCCTTCCTCCTACAGGTCAGTCTCTGATCAAGAAATATGCTAAGGTTTGTATGTTGGATTAATTTACAAATCACCCATTTTATTTTGTTAATGTAGCTGCTATGATGTCTGCAATCTATGAAGAGAACAAAGATGAAGATGGCTTCCTCTACATGACTTACAGTGGTGAAAACACCTTCGGTTCTGCCTTCTAAGCCATCGTGAAGATCTCTCTATGAGACCACAAAAATAAATGTGTACATTCCCACTTATCTCATCTCTCTTTCCATTTGCTCTCCATCTTCCAGTTATGATGTCTCCCTGCAATATTTTCCTGGTTCTGCTTTTATCCTGATTGTGTAATGGCCTAAGTTCTTCAAAACTTTCCCATGAAATACTTATATTAATAGTATCTGGCAATTATTGATCATGGTTGTGTTGTATACATTGGTTGTAAAGTTAAGTAGGTGTTTGGTTTTAAAATTCTTTGAGTTCTATGCTATGATCTTGATCCTGGGAAGATAAAATGGTGGCATAGATCGCCTTCCAAATTTCTTCAGTTTATTGTTGTAAAAACGCAATTTTTAATTTTTAGAATTTGGTTTGGGATTGTTTTTTTACTGCTTTCTACAGCAGCTTTGAGTACAAAAAAATTTTAAAAGCTGCAGAAAAGTAGTAGCCGAAAGCTAAGCTTAAATCTTTGAGTATTATAGTGTTTATTTTTTTCTTAATTTTTTTGGCATGTTCAAGATTTATCTGTAATTTCTTGAAATTGTTATGATTTCCTTTGAAATCCAATTTATAAAAAATCCATGAAATTGAATTGCGGTTGATGAGAAAATTTTTTTATGGCAAAATAATAACCTAATATTAGGGGTGTCAATGGTACGAATCCAAAAATTGACCTGGATTCGATTTGAAAATTTTGAATTCTGGTTTAAGTTTTCGGCCCGATTGAAATATCAAGTTGGGTTCGAGTTAACCCCTGAATTTTATTGTAGCTAATTTGATCTGTTTGTCGCCGCCGATATCTTGGCTGCTCATCTAGCTTCACACTTGTCATGCTCACCCTCATTGCTAGCCCCAAATATTAGTCTATTGCACTTAATTGGGTTAGCGGGTTGGTTGGGTCAGGTTGGGTTTTGATCAGATATGTTAAAAGCATGTCAATTTTGGATTTTACTTGAATAAAATTTGTTTTGACACCTCTACCTAATATTATAGTTTTTTTTATTCTTGGAATGGGGGTATATATCCGTTATCACCCTCTTAGGAGGCGCTTGACAGCGTAAGTGATCCCTCGGCTGACGTAAAAGAGGCACCCACCCCAGAAATTTTTTGGCCCACACTTGATTGAGTCCCACTTAAGAGGCGCTGTCGCTCGAGGGGATTCGAGCACGGGATGGGGGTACCCAATCACACTGGTCCACCAATCAAGTTAAGCATGGGTGGGTAATATTATATTTCTTTAAATAAATAAACAGAATTTTGAGAATGTATATTTGAATTAAATGTTGTATTTTGAAGGGAAAAAAAAAGCAGAGCTCCACAAATAACTTTTTGCCATGAAACCTTATGTTATTATGCCAGCTTTCCCAACCACCAACTTTCCTTCTCAAGAATCTCAATTTCCCATAAAATAAAGTTTTTTTTTTTTTCTTTTGGGCAGACAAACCTATGGTTGTTATTTAAGACACGAAAACCTATTGTACTGTTAATGGTACAACTAAATTAATTTTAGGTCAAGTATGATTTATAACTAGAAAGGGTCGAGTGGGTTAGTCGGGTCAAATCAAATCAATTCAAGTCACAAATGATTCAGGAATTGGGGGGTTAACCTCTTTGATTTGAGTTTAGATTTAAGTAAAAAAAATATTCAGATTAGACTGAGCAGTTTTGGTTGATTTTTTAATGCATGAATATTTAATGAAAAAAGGATTTTGGTAGCATTAATCATTTTGTTCGTACACTAAGGCGAATTATTAGGAAATTATTTTTGTCAAATTAGAGTAATCTCTATTGTGGATAGGAATTATTCAATTATAAAAATCTTTCATGAATAATTTAAAATTAGTTATTAAACTGGTTTTTGGAGTAAATCAGGAATAGAAAATTTAAATTAAATCGAGTCTTTATGTCTAATATTATAATTATTGTGTGCTAGAATGTTAATGGATGTAGAGAGTGCGAGAAGGAACGAGAAAAGGTTTAACATATTGGCATCATATGACAACCATACAGATAAAAAAGGGTTGCAAGATGTAACATCACAAACTCTTAACTATCGAGATATTATCCGTTTTGACCTAAGAGCCTCACGATTTTGTCATGTTGGTGTAACTTCTTAGTAGGTTATCCATCTCAGAATTAATCCGGGATGAGCATGCTTAAATGCGGAGTTTCTTACAAAAATTTCAGTCATTACACCAAAATGCACCTCGATGTTTAAGAGTTCAGCTTCTTTTACTTTAGAGGTTTCACAATCTCCCTCATTTAAGTAACTGATACCCTCGTCAGCATTTTTATCCCAGAGTTATTTACCATGCATTTATGATTCTAGAGGTGCCCCTACAAGTTCAAGTGGTGGCTCCCATCATTTAGCATTTTGTTCCATACAGGATTTAAGAGGTGGCTCACATGACGTAACACTTTGTCTTGTATGACACTTAGTTCCCATCTTTCGTTTGTTATATTGCTTTGGTATTATTTGTAACAGTACACTCTTAACTATCGAGATATTTTCCGCTTTGGCCTAAGAGGTTCACAGTTTGTTGTAACTTCCCAGTAGTTCACTCATCTCATAATTGCTCCGGAATGAGCACGCTTAACTGCAGTGTTTCTTACGAAAATTCTAATCATTACACCAAAAGACATCTCTATTTTTAAGAGTTTAGCTTTTTTTGTTTAAGAAATTTCACACGTGATACTTCAAAATTTTTACGTAACAATTTCAGATAAGAGAAAAACTATGGGGTTTGGTCCAATTAATTAATTAACTAGTATTTGTGAGCTATTTCAAATGATGTTTTTCACATAATTGGGAAAAGGTGTTGATAAAATATAGTATTTTTATCATGAGTTTGTCTCATTCGATTTGAATTGAATTATAAATTTGTTAAAATTGAACTGTGGATGCTTCTGAATTTAATTTAAGAAGTTTTAATTTTAAATATAAATTGAGATTCATGTCCAATTAAGTCAAATTTTAATGGCATATTTATATAAACATACTAAGATTTAATTTATCTTAATTAAATTTATAATTTGGCCCTATTTTTTCAGAAATAAATAAATAAATAAAAACTTACTTTTAGCAAAGTAGTTTTACCCACCGCCCATAGCCGTGGCTATTAATGACCACCGCTCCTCTTCTTTAATTCCACATTAAATATTTATTTATTTCTTATTTAAAGTCACATTTAAATTAATACAACTGAACAATTCCCATTAATGGCAAGAAATATAAATATTGTAATATTTCAAAAAAGAGTTTAATTCCATGTGATTAAATTCGATGAAGCTAAAAACTAAATAAATAAATATGATAAATTAAATATGAACATTAAATGATAAATAGTAGCATTTTAGTAGTGATCGTAGAAAGAAAGGGTACATTTGCAAAAAAAAAATGCAAGAAAAAAATATTTCTGGGGTTTCTTATGTAAAGATGTATTAACAAGTGCAAAATATTTATTTAACAGGATATTATATGTGAGTATAAAGATAACTTTTTCTTAAGACAATTTAATAATCTCGCAATTTATGTTAAATATGTGATTATTTTGACTAAATATCATGCACTTATAATTAATTTTTAGAAGAGAATTATTGATAAGTTTTTTTCTATATAAAATATGCATTTGCATTTAGTTGTGTGAAATTATTTAATTTGGTCTGAGTAAAAATATAATAATAATGGTGTCACATGAAATTAATTTTATTATTTAGAGATGTAAAAATCATTTTTTTTATTTTTTAAAAATTAAATAATTATAACCAATATATATATATATAAAATTTATGAGGGACACATGCCCTCTCATGAAGAAATTATTACGTGCAGAGTCTGAATAAAGAGTTACATTCGAGCATATGAGTATACACATTATGTACTCACTGTATACACTCACAGTCCGGACGTAGAATCACGTTAAGACTCCGCAAGTAATAAGTGTACACCGCAGTCTGGACATAGAATTATGTCCAGACTCCGCACGTAATAATTTCTCCCTCTCATGACCTTACTAAAGGAAAAGAGATTTTGAGCCGAACAATGCATTAAATGAAATAAACTTTGGGGATTTACATATTTAGCTCTCAAAATTTTAGCATTAAAATATTTAGCACCTAAATTCAACTATTTACTTAGATAACACTCAAAAAAAAAAAAAAAAAAAAAAAAAAAAAAAAACAAACATAAAATGATCTTCTATGTTATCTTTCACGCTTTTGAACTTGTTGCCTTCGCCACTTGCCAGTGAATTCTCCTCGCCTTTCACACACGTCAATCTTTTCATCCTCCTACAAGAGCCACAATCCTTCCTCGATAATATCTCCTAGCAAGATTAGCACGTGTCACAAACTATCTTCTCCTTCAAACTTCGTGTCCCATTGATACATTCGCGACGAATTCCTCTCACTACTTATGTTTCATACATCAATTGTCTCATCGATGCCTCTGACCTCAACCTCCTAGCAAGATTAGCACGTGTCATGAACTATCTTCTCCTTCAAACTTCATGTCCCATTTATACCTTCGCCAATGAATTCCTATCACAACTTATCTTTCACACATCATTAATCTCATCGATACCTTCGACATCTACCTCCTATGAGGTGATCCCAACGAGATATTGTCACGACTTCCTTTTGTCCAACGAGATTGGAGTGATTTTGATCAACTTCATTGAGAAAGTGCTATAGAATGTAAATATTTATATTCATAAAATGACTCAAAATCAGAACTAATTACCAAATTAAACACAATCTAGTTTTTTAATTATAAATATATAACCACATCTGCAATACAATTTTACTTTTTTTCAACTTTGATTTTCTTAATTATGACTAAAAAGTAACCAGTCTGTAAAGTTTAACTCTCCCCTGCTTCTGCAACCAATCAATGTCTCTCACCATCTCCCCAACTGTCTTCAAATTAGCTTTGTTCTTGCAATTTTTAATGCTTGCTTTAATCACAAGTCCGCATTCAGCTTTTAATCTTTTTTCTTCTATATAAGAAGAAAGAATCGCTTCATTTTGAATCACTGAGAAGAATTAGCGGCCATGGATTCTTATAGGAAATGGCTTTCTGTCTTTCTTCTGATTTTCAGTTTAGCTCACCATTTCATCACCACCGCGTCAGCCCACTACAGCCACCGCAAATTTGGCGGCGGCGCCGGTAGTGGCGGGGGTTTTGGTGCTGGATTTGGTGGCGGTGCAGGTGGGGGAGCGGGTGGTGGAATTGGAGGAGGTGGAGGTGGAGGTTTTGGAGGGGGTGGTACTCTTTAAGAGGTCAATTTATTGTTGTCTCAATGTTTTTAGGCCCTATTTGAGATCTTTCTTAGTATTTTATTTTATTTATATTTAACATAAAAAATTTCTATTTAATATTAAAAAAATATTATTTTTTATTTTAATTGAATATAAAAAAAAATTAATTGATATATCATTGATGACACAATCAATGATCACATAATAGGCTTCATTTGGTCAACATCTTACTACTTTTAAAATATTTTTTTAGTACAAAAATTTTTTACTATAAAATTATTTTAAAAATAATAAAAAAATTGTCCCAAACGAAAGCAAATAGTATCTTCAATTTTTTTTATCTAAAATTTTGGAAGCAATGATCATCAATGCATCATGATCACTATCTCTAGTGCGAGGAAGTTAATCGAGTCGGTCTAAGAGTGAGATCATTCAAATAATTCTTAATAAGGGCATGACACAATCAAGTTCACCCATTAAGTATAAGAATAAGTAATAAATTTTATTTGGGATGACTTTCTTACTTTTTTTAAAATAATTTTTTAGTACAAAATTAAAAATTTATTTTGAAAAGCTGCTTTAAAAAGCAATAAGAAAGCTGTCACAAACGAAGTCATATTCTAACATATTTTGTATCGCTAAAAAAGATACCAAGGCGCTATTTGGGATGTCGTTCTTATTATTTTGCTTTTCAGATCACAACCATAGATTCTATTTAGCATTGCTTTTTCACTGCTTTCATAAAGTTTTTGTGCTAAGAATCTGCTTTATGTAGCAGCTTTCAAAAATATTATATACTCCACAATAATTTTATAATCATCTTTATAAAAAATTTAAGTCATACATGAAGAAATAAAAGTTCTTAAACATAAACAAACATGCAAAAGGTCCAAAGTCCACTTAAAGAAATGCAAATTTAGTAGCCAGCAATCAACATCTACTAGAATGAACAAAACTGGATCTTTTATGTTATTACAAAATGAAAACATATTAACATCAAAACTCATTGGAAAGATGCAACGTAAATAATTGGAACTTTGGAAGCACAAACAACAAAAGAATGTCAAATTACATCACTTATAGACTTTGGCTTCGTTTAAGACGGCTTTCTTACTGCTTCATAAAGTAATTTTTTAGTACAAAAATTAAAATTTTATATTAAAAAGCTATTTTATGAAGCAGAAAGAAAGTCGTCCCAAACGAAGCCTTCTGATAGGAAGTACTTGAGTTCGCAAGTAACTCTAAGGGAAATACTTGAGTTCGCAAGCAAACATAACCACAATAGGTGAAAAACAATGAGAAAATTGTTGATTACGGCAAAAAATAGCAACTGTACAATAGGTCTCTGGGGAAACCAGAATAAAACTGAAAGAAAAAACGAAGAATTCCATTAGTAGATGCATGAAAATAGCAAACGATGCAAGTTTCTTCAATTTGTGAGGAAGAAACAGCTCTCCAAATATCTAACCAAGCCTAGAGCCCAAAAGAACCAACCCTAGATCCCAAATCTGATTTCAAATTCAAGATACCCCCAAATTCTAACATGAAAGACTAATTAAAGCAAAAGAAAAATTACATAATCCCTAACAACCCCTTATTCAAAATTTCCCTTCTAACCCTTGTTCAAATTCAATCCTTGGTCTTCATTATTATTTATTTATTAATAAAACTCAAATGACCATGAACAACACCTTAGTATTGCACTAAAATATCTCTTGAAATCACAAATTCTATATAAAATTCAAGGAATGGGAATTATGCAAAGAAATTCTAAGCTTCCCCAACCACACCATAAGTAAAGAAGGAACCACAAACGAGAGCTTCATGGAACAAGCTAGAAATTGTAAAAGATTTATAGAAAGATTCACTTGCCTTGCCTTTTGCCTTCAGAAATTTGACAAGAAAGATAGTTGATTTACAAAAAATAATAATAATAATTTGTGATAAAGAGTTATTGTATTACTTGAGTGTAATTTATTATATTTATCCAAAGAAGAGTTACTATTTTACTTATATTAATAGAATGCAACATTTTTTTTTAGCTATGAGACTTGACATAAATCTATAAATATGGGGTTAAAGGGAGAGCACAACATTAATATCATCATGATTAGATCTCAAATTATCTATAATACCTTTTTTTCATTGACATAGCCTCAAAAAAGCTTTCTAATGCTTGAAAAAGTCTCCTAATCCTCAACAGAGCTAACCTCATATAATTAAGAGCTTTATGAGACCGCTGACACAATAATGTCAACGCTTGTTGTTGCTAACAAAATTTTAGTCTATCATTATTAGTAACCCCAACATACATCATCATCAAAAAAATTGATATATGTCATTAACAACAATATCAAATTCCACCCAATTAGATGCTTATCAAATACAATAACCTTCACACCCATCCTCGCCACTAAAACAAATATATATTATCAACAACAAAGTTATTTTTTGCAGTCAGTGACAGGGCCAACAATTGTTGTCAACATCAGTGTTGGTGATCATTATGAACATCAATGTTGATGTTCGTGATAACGAACATCCCCGATGTCCTCATCATTGAAAAATCACATACTCAACCAACTCCAAACCTATTATCCTTATCATAATTGAAACTCATTATCAACACAAATGCTAATATCTGGTATCACCAACAAAGCAAATATGTGTAAGCATCAACAACTCCAACCCCCATCATCTCCTCTAAGGTTGACGCTTACTGTTAACACCAAAACAGACACACATCGTTGATAATAACTCCGATGTACCCATTTGTCAATAACCCTGATGATGAGCATTATCAACAAAGCCAATACCCGTCATTGATGCTAAGGCCAATACCCACATCGCCACGTAGACCATGTCGCACCATCTCCAACAAGGCAAACACCCACCATCAAGACTAATATCAACACATACAATTGCTACCAATATTAACTATAACGTGATCATTATCGCCTCATAGTGTCTTATATTTTTATCATAGAAATAATATTTTATTGCTGATATATATTAATTAATAATTTCAACAGAGTTAAATTTATAATTTTTCACTTCTCAAAAATTTTTATAATATATTTGATTTTTATTCATTATACATATCATAAATTCTCTAAATATTCTATCACATGTGAAGAATATGAGAATTTGTGCTAGTCTTAAGATATTATTTTCACGCCTAACATTTTAGCCACCGAAAGCGGACGGCTCCGATCGAACCAAATATCAGCAAGCGGTAGGATGGGGACAACAACCGACTCAAAAGTCTTTTAAAGCTTGCTCTTTACACCGTACATCAATCGGAAAAGAGGGAGTCGAGAATCGGGAGATCGATTCGAGAGGGATTTGATAGCTCGATCCGATTCTCTCTCTTTCTCCAAGCAATTCGTTGGTGGATTTGGAAATCGTTGCTCCTACGGGATCTTCTTGATTTCATCTAGATCTGGGTAAGCTCTCATGGCTGATATTTTGATTTTGCTTTATTTTATTACTAATCAGGATTTGAGATCGATATTGGTATTTGATTTGATCATCGGATGGTGTGTGCGGTCTTGATTTCTTCTTGTATTGGTTTGGGATTGGCGTAATTCAATCATGTTGTCCGGTGACTTCGATTTTAGGGTTCGTTCTTCGATCTGTAGGGTTTCATATTGATTAGGGTTGTTGGTATGAATAATCTTGTTGTTTTGTCTTTTGATATTTTCCAAAGATCTTCTTTTTTCCTTCCTTTAGGGTTTGTTTAGTAATTAGTATCCTTTTTTAGCAGGATTAAGCAAAGTTTAGCTTAAATACTGCCAAACACTATTTTAGATATTTTAAATTCTTTTTTATAAATCTACTTTCAGCCCATTATTGAATAAATTTTGGAATTTTGTTTTTTAAATCCCACCATTCACAGAATTTACTGGATTTATGGATTTATACCTCTCATAAATCTCCAATCCTGATATAAATTGTGAAATAGTATATCAGGATTTAACATCATCTGTCATTCCAAATAGTTTTAAGGTTTTAATCTCTCAAGATTTACTAAAACTGAGCTAACTGGATTTACTAAATACTACTTGTAGTCAAACATCCTCTTTACTCTTTCTATCGCTACAGTTTCATCTCAGTTGATCACTGATTACTTTGCCTGCAGCTCTCGACGCGGAAAGGGGACCGTTGTTACAATAGTCTGGAGTGTTAAGTTCATAGAAATAGTATAATCATAACATAAATCGAATTATTATGCTTCCAAGGTGGAAAGATTGAAACTTTATATGGTTCCATGCAATCTAGCATATGTTGACCTCAAGCTTTGTTCTTAGCTTGAATATAAAATAATGACCGTCAAAAGAAAAAAAAAAAACCGAAAAGGTTTAGATCCTCTACTACGATTTTATGTTTTCTGAGCAGGCCGCTGTAATGAAGTTAGGAACTTGCATGAAAGTGGTAACAGTCATATTTTGACATGTCTATATATTGATTATGTTTCTTTTATGTGTGATATTAATTTTTTATACAGCATTTGCTCGTCCACTTTAATTTCGTGGACCATTTGATGTTTCATTCTATTTCTTTCTTATTGTTTTGTGCGCTAAGTTTAAGTAAATGTTTATGTACATGGTATTATTGACAAGTTAAAATCTCGCAGTTGCTAGTGCTTGTGAGGGAAAATTTTATTTCTGTTGCTTCCCATCTATACTCCAAAAAGCAAGGTTCATGTCTGATCTCGACGCTCAGATTCCTACTACCTTTGGTATGCTCCCTACCTGGTGCTTTTAGTCTGCTCTTTTTGAACTGTGAAGCTCAAATTTAAGCAAATTTTTGCGTTTTGACTCTAGGTAATATTATTCTGAGTTAAATTATTGTAAATTATTTTGATACTCCCCACTTAGTAAAGTTTCAAAACTATGTTATCTGAGGCTGGTTGTCTTATAATGGAAGCCAAATAATCTTTTTCTGATAAGATAGTGGATATTGAAATCACGTTTTGTTTTAATACCTTGTCATAGTTTTCTTATCGTAGATAGTTAACAAAAGTATGATGGAAAAACCATTTGTACCTATAATTAATAACTTATTTTGTTTTGACTTATGGTTGTAAATATTTTTGGGGCAGATCCTTTTGCTGAGGCTAATGCTGATAATGCTGGTGCTGGGTCAAAGGAGTACGTGCACATTCGTGTTCAGCAGCGTAATGGGAGGAAAAGCCTGACAACTGTTCAGGGGTTGAAGAAAGAGTACAGTAAATCTAAGATCTTAAAAGACCTGAAGAAAGAATTCTGTTGTAATGGTACTGTTGTGGATGATTCAGAGCTTGGACAGGTATATGTTTCATGGGTTTTCTTTTGGCTCATTTCTTTGTTTGTGTAAGCTGGTGCCTTTGTTTGGTTTGGTTTGGTAGTGATGTAAAGGAATCTAAGGCTTCGTTTGGGGTGGCTTTCTTACTGCTTCTTAATGTAGATTTTTAGTAGAAAAATTTTATTTTTTATTCTAAAAAATTGCTTTAAGAAGCAGTAAGAAAGCCGTCTCAAATGAAGCCTAAGTATAAACTAGCTGTGACTCTATTCGGTTAAGCTTGTTAATTATCATGCTAAATATGAATGAGCTAAAGTTTGCAATAGTCTAGCTAAGAAAATCATGTTCAAATTCAGCTTGTTTACTTAATGCATGAGTTGAATATGTATAAATTTTGTGCTAAACATGAGATATTCAATAACCTAAAGGTTTTTTTAGCATCCCTACTTTAGAGCTCTGATAATTAAAGTGGTATGTATGTAAATCTCCCATCTTTAGGGAAATTTACATACATACCATTTTATTTCATGCTATTTACATATCTAACATTCAAAATATTAATATTACATGCCTACCACCCATATACAACTTTAATATCAAATATACCACTCCTATAATTCATTTTTACCATTCATACAATCTTATAAACTTTAATATTTCATTCCATGCAACCGAATTTGTTCTATGGGTGGTAGGCATGCAATATTAATGTTTTAGGTGTTAGATATGTCATAAAATAAAATGGTATGCATGTAAATCTCCCTAATCTTGAATATTGTCCCAAACAGGTCATTCAACTCCAAGGTGATCAGAGGAAGAATGTCTCCGCCTTTCTCATTCAGGTACTCGCAACTGACATCTCAATTACTCGTATGATTTTCATGTTTAGGTTGTGGTCATAATTATTCATTTACCTTTCTATTTTATTGGGCAGGCTGGTATTGTGAAAAAAGATCAAATCAAGATTCATGGTTTCTAAGTAGCTTGGTTTGTCTGTTACATGTTTAGTAGGTCATCACTGTTTGCTTAAGAACTTCTGGGATTTTAATCCTGTCTATATATGTATGTCATATGCAAACTTCTTTAATTTCATGCACTTTGCTTTGTCGTGTGTTGTGAGACGATATAGTCCTTTGATGTTAATGACAATCTGCTTAAATAATAAGTCTGCCTGTGTTCTGTTAACTAATTTCTTCTGGTTTTGAATTGTGGTGAAGTAATTGTTTTGTGTACGGCCTCTGGCCTTTTGATATTATTGATCTATTCCCAAGTTGCAGAAATCTTCATGAAATATCTAGAATGGAAGAATGGAATTGTTTGGTGCTTCAAGAGAGGAAATGACAGGTGGTTGATGAGTTGGTTAATGTTCTTATAGAAAAAGTTCAGGAAATTTTCTTATAGTTGTTCATGTTATTTGGTTACTTGTTTTACTAAACTTTGGAAGAATGAAAATAATGTGAAAATTTTTAGTGTTCTGGATAAATTGTTCTGTAGAAGTTGTTCTTGTGAATTTTGTCTGATTGAGGAGAGTACCTCATTGCATTGTGTTTTTTTAATAAACTTTGAGCATTGACACTGCAGTAGCTGTTGATCTTCTGATTGGGTTCACCCAATCAGTAGTAGGCAGCTGATATGGGATCTATCTTTGAGCCTGACTTAATGGTACCATGGTTTAATGCCAAACTAGTGTTTGATAGTAGAAACTTTCTGATGAGGTTGGATGGATATGATTTCTAAGGCTTCTTTTGGATGACTTTCTTACTATATTTTTTAAAATAAATTTTTAGTATAAAAATTTTAATTTAAAAAGGAATAAGAAAGCCATCCAAAACGAAGTTAAGTGTGGAACTTTGTTGTGGATCTTTTAGGGTATACAATCAACTTTACATTTAAATATTTAAGATATAGTAGTTTTCTATTGATTTAAGATTTTTTTATTGCTTTATAAAACATTTTTTTTAAATACAAATTTTTATTTAAAAATATTGCAATAAAAAAATTATCTCAAACAAAATTTAATCAATCAACAAAGACAACATTAGTCAGAGTTGGGAGAAATTATTCTGTGCAGAATCCGGATAAAAAGTTTTATTCTCCAAGTGGAAAGTTCTCATGTGGATAATGAGTGTACATAGTATATATATATTATGTATAATTTTATGCACAGTTTGGTTAATTTTTTTATACAATGTATACAATCACTATGTACATTCATAGCCCGGACTTCGCACAAAATAATTTCTCCAGAGTTAAAGCCTAAAATTTTGAAAATAAATTATTTCAGGATATTTCAACCAACTTAAATTTGATTAGGCTATCTTTTGTAATCATTAAAATTATTTTGAAATAAATATAATATAATATTTACTTAATTAAACATATATCACATACATATAATGATTAAAAAAAATCAATCAGATAAAATCTATATCAGAATATTATTGTTCTAGATCTGTTTAAAATCAAGATTTCAGTTTCACAGTCTATATTAAAAAAAATCATTAAATACATATTGACAAAAAGATTAGGGAGATTCCTCTACAATAGTAACAGAAATAAGAAAAACACCAAAAAGATTAAACAATGTATTTGCACATGTTTTTCATGAGTAATTATTCTGTGCTGACGCCGAACGCCGAACGTCATCCGGAGACGAACTAAAATAAGTCATGTCACTCCTGTGCTTGGTACTGTTGACGTGTCACATTCTGGTTGGTCTTCAGACGACGTTCAACATCCGATCTCCGCACAGAATAATTTCTCACAATTCAAACACAAATTAAGTTTCTGGATTGGAAAAATTAGTAGCCAATTGTCCCAAACTTTCCACAGCTGATTTCAAAATACGATCAAATTAGCATATGGGCAGACATGCCACAGTCTACGGAATTGTAGGGCAACTAATACAGTAAAAGGGAAGTGATTTCAGAATAATAAGTTTCTGGATAGATTCCAAGGTCTAAATGAGTCAAAAAATGCTGAGTTATTTAATGGATTCCAGCAACTTGGAGTGAGTAAATTTACAGTGCTGCTATGCACTCAATTTCAATCCTTGCATCCAGTGGCAACGCTGCAACTTCATAGGTAGAGCGAGCAGGTGCTGGGGCTGAGAAATCTGGAAGCAGGATAATCATAAGAATATCATTCTCTTGTGCTCCATCGACAAGAAAGTTTTGATAAAAACTGTTATATTGTGGGAAAAATTATTCTGTGCGGACGCCGAACGCAATTTACCGTTTGGATACTAACTAGAATGCGCCACATCACAGTTCCGAGCGGTACCGAGCAGTACCGAGCTAGGTATCGAGCAGGGGGTCACATGGCGCATTCTGGTTGATCTCTGAAAGGCGTTCGGCATTCGCACAGAATAATTTCTCATATAGTGGAGCCTAATTTTGATCATATGAAGAAAAAACAGCTCTAAAGATTTAATCTCTAAGTTGTTTCATTAAGGGTATTGTAGAGATTTTGCCACATTCTCAACTAACGTAATTTTTTTTTCTTTATGAAAGGAGGATGTTGTCTTTTTTAGGAATTCTAAGAACTAAAACTGTAAATACTCCACAATAAAAATCACAGTGAAATCTATAGCGGACAATAATGTTTAATAATCAATGTGTAAGCTTGATTTAAATTCGTGATTTGTTTTGTAAATTGATTTTTTTTTTCCAATCTTCGTTTTCAGTGAGTGAATCAGGTTCTGCCTATTTTCCAAAAAAAAATGAAAATCAAAGATAATAAATAATCTGACAAACTCACATTTGGAATAAATCTCATTAACTTTTTTAAAATCCTTCAGATCAGCCAACCTGTCAAAGAACAAAAGTTATGATGAGCAGACAATAAATTTCTTGAATGTAATCATGCTTGTCGGAGAAAAAAAGTAAATCTGCTACATGATTGTCGTTTTAACGACAGAGGAATAGCTGGCACCACTGGCTTTAAGTATTTCTCCCATGTTCTTCAGAACCTGCAAAAACAGCAGACAGGAGCATTTATTGAGGGCCTTCATCGATTGATTTTGACATTCAAAAAGGGAAAATAGCATTGCAAACTCAGCATAAAATCATGTTCTAATACTTGAGTGTTACATGCAATAGAGAGATTTCAACCATGAGTTGACATGCTAATAGGTTTATGTGGGACACAATAAGGCGTGTGAGCCAAACACACTAATCACAAGGAGTAGAAGATAAAGTGAGAAATTTAAGAATATAGAAGCAATATGAGAGATCATTTTTAAATTAGCCATCGTACATTTTGTGGAGAAACCAAAGCTGATTGTGCTCAATGATGCACTGTTTAAGGTCTTCAATTGAACAAGCAACATAATGCACTACAAGCATGAAGCCATTGTAAGGAAATAAATGCATTAATTGTAATCATTTAATTAGTTGTCTTACAAGTCAATATTCTGTAAGAAAAAAGTGGCTTGGAAATTTAATTTGTTTTATTCTGATAGGAAATGCTAGAGTTCGCAAGTAATCCTAATGGGAATATTTGAGTTCGCAAGCGAGAAAGTAAGAATAATTTGGGTGGAAGCAATCAAAATCAGTAGATAATTTTATAGAAATCAAAGCAAAGCAAGAATGAAACAAAGATATAATTGATCCTCAATTTGAGAGGAGGATCGTTCAATCCCAATCTCTAGACGAGAAGCCTAGAGCCCAAGACACCAAAGAGAACTTCAAGAGAAATAATAATCATGCATCCCTTAATCCTAGCCTCTCATGTTCTTTAAATACCATCCTTCCTAATATAAATTAATTTCAAATTGCCCTCCTCTTGCTTAAACCGCCCTCTCTCTCTCTCCTATGCCGCCCAAGATGTGAGGACCACATGCTTAGGCGGTGGGGTTTAGAGGAGGCAGCTTAGTCCGCCTCCTATACGTCTAAACAGGCCCCTCCTGGGCTAGTTTGGGCTGAACCGTAACATATTCATCCAATGGATATCTATATACAAAGATGGCTTAAAAATAATTGAAAACTATGCAATTTTTAAGAAGTAATTACAATATTTAAAATTAAAAAAAAACTTATTTAGTCCAGGCTAACAATCCACCACTTGCCGACTTCCATTTTTTACATTTAGGGAGCAATTCATGGTACTCCACTTTTCTTGTTCGACATACAAATTTGTAGCCCCTTGCAACCATTTAATTCTACCATCTAGGTTACAATTCATTGTGTTCCATCTTCCCAGTTTAGCCCATGAATTCATGGCTCATTGATGTCCTTGTTTGCATATTAATCTGTGATGCATTATCTCTCTTATTTAGCAACCCATAACTATTGATTCAAGGTAATTTCAACACCCCCTCAAACTGAATGGTAGAGAAATATCATTCTTAATTTACATAAGATATTTTTGAATGCAGGGTTAAAAAGTCTTTTGGTAAATATGCCATCAAGTTGGCCACATATTGGGATATATAGAGTGCAAATAAACCCAGTTTTTTTTTTATATAAATACAATGCCTATCCACCTCCATATGTTTGGTTCAATCATATACTAGATTGTAGGCAATGTTAATAGCAAACTTGTTATCACAATATATCATCAAAGGTCATTTTTATTTGATCTTTAAATCTTATGATATATTTTTAATCCATAAGAATTCACATGAATTGAGTAGTCATTTTGAATTTTGATTCAACACTTGACCTCACGAAAAGGTACATAATGTGAAACGAGTATATGCATAAAAAGGTTGGAGTAGCTCTAGTGCCAGATAAGATTAGAAAGAGTCGCCTTAGATTATATGGTCACATAAAACATCGGCATTCCTATGACCCTGTTGGAGAGTAGATGTATTAGATCTAGCCAAAGTTAATAAAAATAAATGTTGACTTAAGAAGACTTGGTTAGAAAGTATTAAAAATGATCTTTTTGTTGGATTAAATAAAAATTTAACTTTTAATAGGACAAGATGAAGAAAAAGGATTCATGTAGCCGATACCGCATAGTGTGTTGTTGTTGATGTACCTAACCTCGAGACCATATGTTATTCCTTGCTTCTCAATGTTACAAGATTTCTATCTAGCATTATACAATTTCCTGAAGTAGATGTCCTATCCACCAATCCCACATGGTCATCATTAATATAACCTTTAATTTGTAAAGTCTTAATTTTTTATAAAGAATCTCATTTCTAGAGTTTGCTTTTAAATTCATAAGACCCCCAATAAATAGCTTGAGAGCTAGATTCATTAGGTTTATACATAAATTGACTTATAAAACTTAACATAAAAGCAATGTGCAAACGGGTGCGCAAAAGTTAAATAAATTTTCCACTAATCTTGGATATTGTTCAATATCAGCTTATGGTTTTCATCTGTCTAGTTTTTTACTTGATTCAATTGAAGTTTTACATGATTTACAACCAATCATTTTGGTTTCTCTCAAAATATATATAACATAATTTTGTTGAGAGATGAAAATTCCTTTTGCTAAAAATGTCGTTGTCATGTCCCAATCACTAATAAAAAGTCCTGAGTTGCGTTAGGCAATTGACAGCTAGCATAAAACTTGTTTAACAAGCATGGCATGAATCTTTTAATGCATTGTACTAATGAGTAATGATTGGGAGTTCCTTAGAGGTGATGCATTGTATGGCTTGAACATATCGAATGTAACGACTCGACGCCCAGGTACAATGTTAAAAAAAAGAAAGAGTTTTCACATTATGAACGAATGTGTGCAAAGAAGTTAGTTTACAAAACAAGAATTAGAATAAAAACTTAGAATATAGGTTCTCTTATAGGAAAATTAATGAAATTAATAGATGTTATGATTCATAGGAAGATAAATATTTTATATATTCAGAAAGCTAAATGGGTTGAAAAAAAAAGCTAAGGAGAAAGAGTAGTACTATAAATGATGTAGGTGTAACTATACATAAGAGTTTGAAATATAGTATTATAAAAATTAATAGAATTTGAGATAAAATTATATCTTTAAAGATTATTTTATGCTTAGATTATTAAAAATATAAGCGCTTATGCTCTTCAAATAGATTTGAATATATGCTCAAAATTAAAATTTTAAATGGCTTAGAAGAATTAATACAAATGATGCACTTGAGGAAAGAGTTTTTATTGGAGAATATCTAAATGAACATATTGGTAAAGTAGTAGAGGATTTTAAAAGCATTCATGATGACTGTGAGTTTGGAGCAACTAATAATAGTAGGACCACACTTGCTTATGCTCTAGCTTATGATTTTATAAAATAGTAGAGGATTTTAAAAGCATTCATGATGACTGTGAGTTTGAAGCAACTAATAATAGTAGGACCACACTAGCTTATGCTCTAGCTTATGATTTTGTAATTGTTAATATCTTATTAAAAAAAAGAGGAGCGTCTCATCACTTATAAGAATGAACATAGTAAAACTCATATTAATTATTTTTTATAAAAAATAAGGGATTTTTACATACATAACACCTAATACTAATTACATATCTAACACTCAAACTACACTATTTACATACATAACACTTAAATACTATTAATTTCATCTAAAATACAACTCCGTTAACTCTTGTTAAAATCCCTACCGCGACCTTGCCTTTTGAGATTGAACCCTCGCCTCTTCTTCATTTGAGAGCCTGCACTTTTGTATTTGATCCCACACCTCTTCTTCGGTTGAGAAGGTACTCAAGCGTCTCCACTCTCCTTCTCTTTAGGTTTGCTATTCGTCTTCTCCATTTCTTCGTTGTTGTCGTGTGATGTGCTTCGGATGGAATTGCTCTAAGTTTCTCCACTTTTGATGACGATGTTGTTGCTAGATTGGAAGTCATGACGATAGATTGCCGGCAATGTAACAACATTTTCTCCCCTTTCTCGGCAGAGAAAGATGAGGGCATCATCTTTTAATGGATACTTGATGTTTTCTCATTAGGTCAGTAGCGATTAACAGCTGAAATTTCTAATCTCTCCATATCTTAATGCAAATTTATATCCAAAGGGTATCAGTGTTACCTTGCTCAAGTCAGGGATACAAATAAGTTAAAGAGTTAAAGGATATACTTGTAGTCAAAGAATATCAAGAGGTGTTTCTGGATGATTTGTCAGGATTGGCATCATAAAGAGAGATAGACTTCACTATTAATTTGTTATCAGATTCAGAACCAGTGGTAAGGGCATTCTATAGAATGGCAGTTAGCTAAAAAGCCAACTATAGGAATTGTTAGATAAAGGGTTTATCGGGCCAAATTCCTTGCCATGGGGAGCTCCAATATTGTTTGTAAAGAAAGATGGGAACTTCATAATGTGCATAAATTACAGGGAATTGAATAAGCTTAATGTTAAAAACAAATATCCATTACCCGAAATTGATGACCTATTTGATCAACTAGAGGGAGCTATTATTTCTTTAAAATTGATTTGCATTATGGTTATCATCATCTTTGTATTAAGGAGGAGGATATAGCTAAAATTGCTTTCAGAATCAGATATGGTCATTATGAGTTTGTAGTAATTCCATTTGGAGTGACGAATGCTCCAATTGTATTTATGGACTTGATCAATAAAATTTTTTCAAACTATTTCTGGACATCTTTGTGATTGTGTTTATAGATGATAATTTGATTTATTCAAGGGATGAAGAAAGTCATTTCAATCATCTGCATGCAGTGTTGCAAACACATAAGGAGAACAAATTATATCTAGATTGTATTATAGGAATCCAAAATAGTAGATTGTATTATAGGAATCAAACCAAAAGTAAGAACAAGAAAATATACAATTGATCCTCAATTCAAGAGGAGGATCGTTCTCTCCCAATCTCCAGACGATAAATCTAGAGCACAAGACACCAAGAAGAACCCTCACAAAAACACAATAACATAACATAATCCTAACCCTCATCTCCCTCCCATACTTAAGGCATACAATTAAAACAAAAAGACAAAAAGACCAAAAGGCCCTTGTCGCTCCCTCCTTTGATTCCAAAATTGAATTTGAAAT